AGGAAGGAGGAACAAACGGTCTTAGAATTGTAAATTACACAGAGAGCTACATTAGGCATATGGGAATGACTGATTTGTTACACGAGGCGGCAAAAGGATGCAAGGCTAATTCTGTGTGTTTATATCTCAGATAATAGAGGCCTCTCATCTCTGTGTGTATCTGTGTATATTCACATAGACACCCGAAATGAATTCGGCTTCCTTATCTAAACTTTCCCAGGACTGTTCTTCCCATATGGCTCTTAGCAAATGTTCGCTGGGATCAATTGATCCAGATAGATATTGAGATATTCTATCCTATCCTATTGATCCCAGCTAATTTCACCCAGCCAATTATGGGGTAATTTCCCACACCCAAGTCCCTTCCTTCCTTCCCACTTAAGCCATCAATGTAGACGGGTTTCATTGTTTTCATTTTACTTTAGAAACATCATTTATTTGTAACTCTGAAAACTGGCAGGATTCCATTTTCCCATGTTATAAGGGTGTGAATAGTGCGCCTTGTGTGATTTTTGGTCTGGTTGATTCTCCAGTTTTGTTTCTGAGTGGTGCTTATGGCCCCTGTTCCTATTTTCAGAGAGCCCTGTCCTCTCACTGATGAGCAGGTGGTGTCAGGGTAAGACCAAATTCATCCGCCTCCAATGGCTTTTCTTCTTTACCATCTTCTTGTATTGTGTTTCTAATTTCTGCCTTGGACCTTGCTGTAAACGAATGGAACGATAGTGGAGTGCAGATGAGATGGATGAACTTGTAAGGAATTTAAAGGAGGAGCCAGCCTAGAAAGAGGACTGCAGTAACGTGGCAGCGCATGTGTTTTGCATGCAGAACAGGTTTGGGTTTCCTCTCTGGGTGCCGTCTACCCTCCGTGGAGACAAGACTGGATTAGGGGACCAAGAAGCTCACTCCATCGATTGGAATGTATGAGGTCAAAGCTAAGACTGGCGCACCATCCTGCACTTTGCCATCAACTATGACTGCTTTTGCACCATAGAGGCAATATGTCATTTTTGCCTGCTGTCAAGGCATTTGGATGTAGCATTTAATAGTTGGCTCCTCTCTAGTTTTTAGGATGCAGAGTAATAATCCTAATAATAATATTATGCCACAAATATTGAGGCCACTCCACATTCGAGCTATTATGTTCTTTTCCAATCTGTTCTTCCTTAACCATATTACATTACAGGCTTTAGAACTTCTAGTCAGTGTAACACTAGAATGAGGAGGAGTGCAAGAATAGGATAGGATGAAGAGTAGAATAGAATAACAGAGTTGGAAGGGATCTTGGAGGTCTTCTAGTCCAACCCCCTGCTTAGGCAGGAAACAAAATTGTTGGTCAGGCCTTTGTCCACTATGTATTTGCCCTAATTGTGTGGTTTTGTACTGGTTTACATCTTTTCCTAAAACTCAGCGTCACTTTAGCTGCGGCCAGAAAAAGTGGGCCAAAAGGAAAAGCCGAAGCTGCATCAGAGGCAGTGGGGCAGCTAAAGGCTTTGAATCTCCTTCGTACAGAGAGAGGTAGGAACTCCTGAAGGATTCATAGGGGAAGTTCTCTTTAATTGTGGAAGTAGAAGCTGCTAAAAGGTCAGCTAAGTTTGTTATTTACCCTGAGGACATTTATTTGCGTAGGAAGTATGTTCTTCTATTGAACATAGGGGTAGGTGGCAGCATTATTGAAATGGGTCTCCAGACATTGTCAAAACCAGCACTTTTTTTGCAGCAATATCCCAGAGGCCCTTAACAAACCAATGAGCTCCACAAAATTGCCTCTGGGAAGCTGGTCCTCCAAAGAAACGCTCACGGCTGCTTAATTCCACCCAGTGTGCTTGGCTAAAATCAAACAGGCAGGGTGTAACCTTCAGGAGAAGACAGGGAGATGGGGAAACTTGCCAGGTAGCTCCACTTTTTCAAGAACAAAGTTTTGGAATTTAGACTGGGTAGGGACAGTTTTTTTAATTCCATTTTCCCCACATAGAGAACCATTGGGATTTCCATTCGGTCTGGAGGAGAACATCTTGTAGAACTACTTTTGGTTTTAATTCAAATAAGAGTTCAAACTTCACTTGCCAGGTCTCTGGTGGAAAAGATTGCAAAGCCACGATTCTGCCTTGACTGCTGCTGCCTTCTGGGAGGGCTGATAAGCTGATAACTCTCTGGGCTGCAGCCCTCACAGCAGAACGATGGATGCCGCCTCTCTCTGTAGCCCTGGGGGAGAAGCCTTTTGTATAGCAGCTTCCCCTGACCAACAGTGGGGAGGGGAGGGGGAGTTGTGACTAGAGGCTTGAATGTGAAAACCCAGAAGCAAGCTCAGAGCTAGAAGGCGGATTTCTCTCCCGAGGACTGCAATTCCATTGTCACCAGTCCTTTAAAGCTTGAGTCAGCTGCAGACAGCCTGGCGTTGCAGGTGCTCTGAGACCTGTGATCCTGGCAGAGCCTGCAGGCCTCCATGTTGGATGCCTTTCATCTCTTTGGCTTAGCCAGTTGGCTCCTCTGGGGCACTTTGGAAGAGGCTGCCTCTTTCCCCACAGAGCAGGGAAACTTTAGATCATGCAGAGATAAGAGGCTCCAGGACAGCAGCTTCCGGAGCAAACAGAGGATGGGAATAGGGGAGGGAAATGTTTCTGCTGTTCTGAGCAGGAATTCCTCCTTGCCTTCGGGAGCCTTCCCAGCCCAGCTCAGGGACAGCCTGTACTTGGGAATCTGCTTCAACCGCTGCAACTTCTCTGCTTAGACCCCCCAGCAGAAGCGGCCCTTCCTAACCTCTCTGCTTCTTTCTGAGAGTTGCATGACTGTCCCCTTGTTGGCTGCGATGCTTTCCTTTCAGTAATTCTGATGATTCTAAATACACAACTTGGACAAATTAATGGCATTCAAATGGGTCCTAGTGTTTATTTATTTAGAATGCTTATAGAATAATATTTAAAGTTGAATAAAAGTGGTACCTGGCTTTGGGGTGTCTTTAGGTCGCCATAACCACAGTCATACCTGTTTCTCTTATGCTTTGAAGGTTTTCGGATGTCATTCTGGCAACAATTCTGGCTACTAAATCGGACATGTGTGGCAAAAAGTTTGAGCTGAAGATCGATAACATTCGTTTTGTTGGGCACCCAACTCTGTTGCAGCATGCCTTTGGCCAGGTATGTCACAGATCCAGAACACCTTTGCAAGAGCTGGAACCTAGAGGCTCCTCTCAATTATTGCTGAATTTCTACCCTTGCCTCTTTCTCAGCATGGAACTACCTGCAGAATCCAGTGGCTAGGATCTCAAACCCAGACTCGGCTCCCCATATGCCTGGCTGGAGTTGGTACTAGAAAGAGTCCATTTCAGCTCTTCTCTTTTTTTTTAAATGTATTTTTTATTATTTTTACATTTAAAACAATGCAGTACCGCACAGTCGAAGTGACCATACATTCACATTGTATACAGCTAGTCTCAACCATGAACTATTAGCCTACTTAATACATGGCCTATCCTTCTGTCCAATCACAATATATACAGTTTTCAGCTCTTTTTGTGGCCATTCTTCCCTGTGAAGATTTTTCCTCTCCACTGTAAAATGAGATATTGGGAGTTTGTACTGAATAAGAATCGGCCCAAATTTTAACGGGCACCAGCTACTTAACTTTTGAATCTCCCCTAGGAATGGCAGTTGTATTTCTAAACATGGTTGGTGTTGACACGGCGGCACACATAACTAGATCCATAGAAGATTTAGCAGATGCAATTGCAAATATTTTAATGGGTTGTTTTTTCTGGTTTATTCTGTTTGGTTAGTTCATTGTTTAATGTACTGTGTGAATCCAAGGAATGGGGTTAACCCATTAACCAGGCCTTTTGCTGAGGTTCCTCTTGTCACCTCTTGAACATCCTTCTGGAGGGACGAGAGCTGCCCTGCCATTCATTCCAGAGTTGCTAGCGAAGATGGACGCAACACCCTGGGAGACAGCTCCTCGCCACCCCTCAAGTTAACTTATGTTTATTCACGTTTATTCCGTGTTTATTCACAGAAAGGTGGACACAATTGTGGGGTGTGCTGTTTGAGTCTGTAAGCCATGTGGTGCCCTTAGGATCTCTGCTGATTGAGGAATGCCACGGCTGGAGAATTATTCCCCCACCTAAGCCTCCGTTCCCAGTCTCTGCCTAAACAGAGCCACTTAGCTGGTCAGGCTGTTTGAATGCCACACGGCTGGAAGGAAAAAGGTTTGGTGTGTATCCCGTGCAGCGTCCTTCCTTCAGCCCTTGGATGATTTCAGCTCCTGCCCTTTTTCTTCCAGCCCTTGCAGAGTTTCTTTTTCTGAGGCTTCCTCACTTTGGTCTCCTTAACCTGAATATGCTCTAGTTTATGCCTGCTCTTCTGAAACATGTGGCCTCCAGGCCAGGCGACCTCACTGAAGCCAAGAGAGGGGACTCCTTCCCCAGACCTCAACATACCAAGAACAAATCTGCTTTTTATGTACTGCCTCACCCAACCACCCGTCCTGGATCTGCTTGCTTTTACACTCCCTAACCATTGTATTTAAGTACTGCGACAATAAACACTTATACTAAGTGTCCTCTTCTGCTGTACAGGTGTCAAAGACAGATCCTTCTCCAAAGAGGGAAATGCCCACCATGATTCTCTTCAACGTGGTCTTTGCTTTACGGGTAAGACTGCCTGGGAAGTAATGCTACTGGACCTGATGGGAGACAACCAGCTGCAGAGCCCTCGCTTGGCTCAGGTGTTCTTGGTCATCTCTTTGACTTCACTTGGCAAAGGCAGCAATCTTCCCCTGCCTTGGCTGGCCTGGACCTCTCTCAGGACTTACGGCTTTGGGGGCTCTGCGTAGCACTCCGGCTGCGGGGTGGGGCCCATCTGCTAGAGGCAGCTGGAGAGGCAAAGGCCCAAGCTGTTATCAACAGGGAGGCAGTTGCAGTGAAGCTTGAAATTTAGCCCCCTGCTGTGACTCAGCAGAAATGTGGCTCATTGTATAATGCCGAGTCATAGTTTGTGACTTTGGGTGGCCACCGTTATCACTGGCCTGCATTCCATCTCCTTAACAGGCCTTAAACAGCTGGTTTGTCCACTTTGGCTACCAAGTCTCTGAGGCCCCACTTGTTCAACTGGGTGTGGCTGATAACAGCTGGACTCCTGGCTCAGAGTGGTTTAAGCAGCCTCTCTGGGCTACGCATGGTGGTCACTTGTGCATGATATATGGCGGAGAGTTTCCAGGGTTGGTGCTTCATCAGGTTCTCATGTCACCTATTCTAGCCAAAGGCTACGCAGGGCTCAGACTGAGGTGTTGGAGGAGGGTTTGCTCCAGGGCGGTGAGCCTGCCCTGCTGTCCTCCCGTTAGGACACCTCTAGATGGGAAGGGACTCTTTGGGCTCAGGGGGAGGCCAGAGGAAGATGCTAGAGGAAGACTCCCTCCAAATAAGAGCAGCTGAAGGGAGGCTCCCACTGAGTCACACATTTTGTGGGAGCAGTTCTTGCCATCCTGATGCTTTCAGTGGGAGGCAGCCTGCTGCTGCTGCTGGGTGGCCGGAGGGGGGAAAGGGGCTGGGTTGGTCCCAGGTGGGTGCCGCCGCTGCCTTCCTCCAGGCCACCCTTGATGGATGGTTTCTGCTTCTGCCTGCAGGCCACTGCGGACCCCTCCGTGATCAGCTGCCTGCATAACCTCTCCCGGCGAATCGCCATTGTGCTTCAGCATGAAGAGAGACGCTGCCAGTATCTGACCAGGGAGGCCAAACTCATTCTGGCCATTCAAGATGAAGTTTCAGCCATGTCAGAAAGTAAGTTGCAAGCAGTTTATGGTCCTCGTCCACTTGGGAGGCCACTTTCGAGGACGTGGTTCCTGCAGGGGACGGTTGCTGGCCTGAACTCCTGAGCTGAGAGCCGGTGTCGAAGGAAGGCTGTTTTGTTCCCCCTCCCTTGACCTCCGCAATGGCCCAGGCTGGACCGGCTGCCGTTTCCTATGCAGCCAATGGATGGAGCGGTTAGCCAGGATGACACAAAGGAGCATGTCTTTGTGAGATGGGCAGCTCTACACATTTGATTAATTAATTAGATCAGTAATAAAGTCCGGCATCAGGAATGTCCCAGGAAGGAAGGGTTGGGAAGGGAAAGAAAAGAGAAGGAAAGGAAAGGAAAGGATGTCCCAGGAAGGAAGGGTTGGGAAGGGAAAGAAAAGAGAAGGAAAGGAAAGGAAAGGATGTCCCAGGAAG